ATGATTTCAAACTATAGAAGGTAGATTTGTATCCAAAGTCACCTTTTTATGACCATTTTAATCCATGACGGATCTAATGTGACATCAGGTCATTTAAACTTATCAGTGAACTCATAATTAATGTCATGTTGTTAATTCTTTGTTGCTGACTGAATTGTTCCATTCACGTTTGAATTAGCGCTGATTGCTACGCGTTCAAATCATGTGTAATACATCAAGTTTTGTCAAGATTTATCATACACCTAGTCGGTCTATAGTTTCCTTTCAAAGACTTTTAATCATTGAACACCGGGGAATAAAAATGTTTCATGAATTTTGTCAGTTGCACTTGAATTTCAATGTTCAATGATCTATGTTTCAATCAATCTATAGACTATTTCAAACTGTATTCAATTTATTTAGCTCTTTAATTATATTTCTATACTGAAAAAGAACATCAACTATGCATTCTATTCAAAATTCCAGTTCAGATTTATTTACGGTTTAGAAGCATAGAAAGAAATTATGTTTATATGGAATCTGTTCGAAAAGATAAATGATTATATATAAATATAAATTTTCAAAAATTCTTGATGATTAGTTACTTACTTACTTACTTATGTCTGTTACCACTAATTGAGAATAGGCTGCCAACTAGCCTTCTCCAACCTACTCTGTTCTCCTCCTTCGTTTCTTGTTCTTTTCATGCCTGTTCCAAGTTCTCAACGACATGTGTTCTTTGATCTTCCTCTTTTCCTTTGGCCTTGAAGATTCCAAGTGTGGGTTTGTCTTTTAAGACAGCTGGGTGATTTCTACAATGTGTGTCCTATTCCCTTCAAGCACTTTTACGTAATTTATTTATCTGCTGGAATATAGTTTATTTTCTCTCACAATTGGTTGTTACTGATATCGTCTGGCCAACGGTTCCTCAATATACAACGTAGACAACTGTTAATAAACAGCTGTATCTTATGGATGAAGGCTTTCGTGATTCTCCTAGTTTCCGCCCCATACGTTCATACTTAAAAACTGTCACTTTTGTTTTTCTGTAGATAGTTGTTTTAATTTAATAAATAGTTAGACAAAATATATCACACTTCTTGTTGTTGTTACTTGTTATTTTTATGAACAGTACTTTTGTCTTCTTATGTTTCTCCACATCAGTTGTTGTTCTGTTTTGTTTTTCTTCGAACATGTTGACAAATTGCTAATAAATATCAAATTACGGCGACAAATACAATACAATGAAACCACCACTAGTAAATATATATTTTTTTAAAAAATGAAGGATTATCCACACTTGTATTATTTTTTTTCTCGCTTCTCAACATATATATATAATGTCCGGTAGCCACGAATTTAGTACATAATTCTTTTTTTTTCTACCAATTTTAACATTTATCGTTGTAATGTTGTAATGTCTATGCATTCAAGGGGTAAGATGACTAAGTCATAGGATAATTGTACATTAATACTACTGTTAAAGAAGTTGTACAGTAGTATAAAATAGGGCATGGTCATTTGAGACAGATATATATACATATATATATTTATTATCATTGTATTCATAAAAATTATTATTAGCGTGTTTTATTGGACGCTGATGATTCATTGTTGTAAATTTTGTTTTACTGTCACGTACATTTTCACTACAAACAAACAAACATTTGTCAATGAAGAATGACAAATATGACTTTTCTTATGGGTGTTTTAAATAGTCTTTAATCAATTGAAAAGTTGTTAGTGTGAAGATAGAATGAAAGTTTCACAAATTTACTTGTTCAACTCACAAATTAATAACAAACTTACTAGTCGAAATGATGGAATAGTTTTAGTGAGACAAACATTGAAAACTAAGAAGGTTCTTGATTTAAACTGTTTCTACTATGAAAACTTGATTTCACGTTTTGTGATCATGATCGTTTGTTGAACAAAAATAAAACATAAACTTAAGTGTCAACCATTTATGCGGCAAAGCAACAAGCTCAAACATTTATCGAGCTGAGGAACTGAAAGCAGACATAACAGTAAGTGCAACGATGTTCCATGCTTGCTTCAGCGGGATTTGCAAGGAAGAACAAGTACCAACAGATTGGAAAGAATGACACCTGATCAAGAAACTAAAGAAAGGCGACCTCAACAAGTGTGAGAAGTACAGAGGTATCACTCTACAATCAGTATCAGGAAAAGTCTTCAATGGGATATTTTTAAATCGAATGAAAGATTCAGTAGACACTCAACTTCGAGATCAACAGACTGGATTCTGTAATGACCAATCGTTTGCCAGCCAAGTCACAGCAGTACGTATCATTGTGGAACAATCAATTGAATGGAATTAATAACTCTACATTAGCTTTATTGACTAGGAGAAAGCGTTCAACAGGATGGACAGGATGACACTATGGATACTTCATCAACTTTATGGCGTCGAGCCTTAGAAGGTAGTCGACATCATACGAAATTCTTATAATGGATTAAACTGTGAAATCATGTATGGAAAACAGCTGACAGACAAGTTCCAAATGAAAACCGGTGTCAGGCAAGGTTGGTTACTCTCACCATTTCTGTTTTTCCCAGTGGTCAACTAGGTTATGGTGAAGTTAACACATGAGAGGAAGAACGGAATACAGTAGACAGTTAGTTTGAAGCTAGGCCATCTAGAATTCGCAGATGACCTGGCTTTTCTATAACACATACAGTGTGGTGCGCGCTACTTATAAGTAGTATATGACGCGATTGAAAACGTAATGTCTGGCAGCAGAAGATGAGGGAAGATCAAGAAAGGAAGAGTGGGAACACGATGGAATTTGTATGAAACGCATGAATAATGAAATGTCAGACAATGGATTGATGATGGATTGAAGATTTGCAAATTAACAGTTACGATATGGTTTTCCTATTTTACTGAGTAACTCTGTAATTTGCGATAAATACAATTCGGTTGCCCTCACCTGTGTTCTCCTTCACTACAACAGCATTATATGCAAATGAAGACAGACAGAGCAGTAACGGGCTCTACAGCATTAGGTTTCAACATAAACCAGAGTAAAAGCTAAGACCCTTCGATACAACACAACGTGCGCCAACCAAATCACACTTGACGGTGAAGCTTAACAAATCTGGGCAGCATCATTGATGGGCAGGGTGGACCTGATGCAGATGTGAAGGTGCGGATCGGCAAAGCAAGGGTTGCATTTCTACATTCGAAAAATACCTGGAACTCAAAACAACTATCAACCAGCACCAGTCAGAATTTTCAAAACAAATGTCAAGCAAGTTTTACTGTTTCGACAAGAAACTTGAAGAACCACGAAAGCCATCATCCGGAATATACAAATATTTATTAGCAGCTGTCTACGCAAGACACCATCAGCAACAACCTACTGTGGAGAGAACCAAGCATCTAAAGCACAGTTTACAAAATTATTGAATCCAAGAATGTTATTGACTTATGCAATGAAGATAAAATGTAAGTTCACCATTAGGGTGCTGATAAATCTAGCTGACAAGTTCCAAATAATATGAGAGATTATTATTGTGAAAATTCAAACTACACAGATATAAGCAAACAATATTGTTCGTTTCAATGAGATCGCCATCAGGCTCTAATATACATGAAACTGTTAAACCAGTCAAGGCAATTTATTATGAGTCGGTAGTCACAATGAAATAGAGATTACGTCACCACACAAAATAGGTGAAAGGACAAGTTGATTGTTAGGAAGACTGGTGTACTGATAGTAAGTAATAGGAATAATAAAATACGATAACAGAAGTTTAATCACTAGTTAAACATTGGAGACAGTAGGTCGAACGTGGATAAATAGACTTGATATATTAATTACAGAATATTAGATAGTGAAGACTACAAACAGAGAGAGGTGGAAAATTACCAAAAATACAGGATGTGAAAGTAATGCTAATGATAATAAAAAATAAAATTCTTAAAGGCGCGCGAACGCCAGACCTCCGGTCCACTGGTCCGGCATCCAACGGTTTTAAAGTCCAACTCTGATTGATCTAGGGATTTTGCGTGACCTCACCTATTTGTCTTTGGTAGTTACTGCCTACACTCGACAGGGTTGAACTCCACTGATCACATCTTCACACTAGATCTCCGAGGATTTCCTCACAAAACTAGTCACTATTGAGCACATTTTACGATTTTTCAATTAAAGCTATGGAGATTAGTGTTTGTTGAACATCGAAAACATCAATCAGTCTTTGTTAGACCACCATTTGAAACCTGGAAGTACTGGATTGCCGTTTCTTCCTGCTATGGGAAGAGACCAAATTGTCAAGAATTTCTTCTGAACACATAAATCGATGTGCAATGTTCGGATTCCTATGGTTTCTGTTATCTGTAAGAGACGGAATAAAATTCCGTCGGGAAATAATGAAAATGATGCAGTTTTATCTAATATTATGACCACTGTCAATCTGATATGCTAAAATATAACTACGTATTACTTTTATCAAACCATACTGAGAGATGTTCATTCATTCATCAGGTTAAGTTGCTTTAAATTGTCTTACAGACAACAAATCACACATTCTGGAGATAATCTAACTAGCTACTCTAGCTACTATCAAAACTTCATTGCACAATTATTATTATTATTGTATTATGTATGTGGAAATCCATTTCTCATACAAAATTCATCAAACTTAATCGACAAAAATATAAAAAATAAAAAAGCAGTGCTTTTCTAAACAACAATTTATATTAATTATTGCCTGATTTCTTTCTGTTTGTTTCTACTTTGACAAAACAAACTGCCTACTGTTACTAAGTTACAAAACCAACTATAAATAATACTGAACACATTTCCAATGTCTAGTTTTCTATCCTCTGTTCTCTTTTTTTTTTATTTCCACATCAGTGTCACCAATAGTATTACAGAAAAAAAAATAAATAGAAGTACTGATTATTGTTGTAAACTACAGAGAGAAGATTGGTTATTAATATTCATTAAATTTTTCACATTACACATTAATAACAAACAATTTTTTTTCTGTAGTTCTGCAGTTACTATTTTTTTTTCTATACTGTTCATCTACTACTACTACTACTACTACTACTACTATTAATACTACTATTACTACTACTACTAATACTACTACTACTACTACTACTACTACTACAACTACTGCTACTCATTCAATATTCATCATTTTGATTTCAACTATCTAACTTTTTTTCTGTTTCATTTCATTGCATTACATTTTTTTTTGTTTCAGAAATCTTTCACAATAGAGTTACGTTCTGGTTACTTTGATTTGACATTTTTAATGTCGTGAAAATGCATTGTGCATTTTTTTCTAAATAAATTATGAGTTTGTTAGTTTATGTGTATAGGGAGAGCAAGAGAGAGAGAGACAGAGTGTAAGTGTGGCTGAGATAGTTAGTTTTGTGAGTAAAAACAATTTATGTAAAGTATTCTCACTAGAATCGATAATTTTAAAAAAAATTAGTGTTATGTGTTCAACAAGAACAGATATTTAACCGGAAATCAGTGATACGCTTGCAGCTAATGCATGGCTTCACTTTACTCGGTAAACGGAATGAAGATCAATAATTCAAGGACACTATAGGTTACTCTACTTCCAGGCCCTGCTGACTAGATCAAGAAGGCTTGGTAAGGAGTAGAGAATTTACTCGATGAGGACCCAGAAAATACGAGGTCGACAAACACACAACTCAAGCCTATTTATACAATGATAAGACGCCCTTGGTGAGAGCCACAAAATAGCTTACTAAAATAATCCATCAGCCAATGATAGTCAAGGATTTCCGAGTGGGAAATGCAAACTGTTGGTTAAAATGAGCGTCTTTGGCGTGAAAACATCAAGTTTAAAATTCCAAAATAAAATAACAGAATCAGGACCTTCTCCAAGTGAGACCTGGAAATCTAACTTCCCTAACAGTTAGGATCTTTGTAGTTAGGCTCTTCCTAGAGGATCAACTATTTGTCTAGTTCGATCAATGATTAAATTCGTTTATGTGCCTAGTGGATGATTAACCTACTAATTCCCTAGTGATTTAGCGACCGAGAAATTACCACTATGACCTTGATGACTATTTATCCTCAAGCTACTTCTTTTACACCAGAAATTCTTAGGATTTTGGTCTGTTGTCTATTCCACATACATAATGCCTCAACTACTGAAGGTACTATATTAATCGAAATATTTACGAGATAAACAATTATACACCCAGAACTGTATTGAATGAATTTGCTAAAACTAACTGATCAAAAGTAAAAGTTCCCTATCTAGCAGAAATTGTAATTGCATACCTTAAGAACTTTATACAGCCAAACTTTAAGCAATTAAGTAACTAAAGACGAAACCAATTTCTAGTTAAGCTGAAAAATATATTCCTCGAATAAAATAGACGATATTTTCATTCTACAATGTTAAATAGTAACAGAACAATTCGACAACCATCAAAGTCCAGTGATTGTGTAAAATACAATTAACACAGTCGATCATTTACTAATTAGTAGCAAAAAATGTTTGAAAAAAAAACAAAATCCATAACTAAAATGAATGATACCAGTAGCTTATGAAACCAAAACTTGCTGTAATGAATACTCCGGAAAAATAGTATCAAGAATATTAGCTTTACATCTGGGGAAAGAGATATAGTTATTGCCGTATAGAGAGCATTTGGCAAACTTTTTCATATAAATTATATATATATTTCTGTTGGGCAGCAGTTCAGTTCTATAAATCAATACACGCAATAGCGCAAAGTAATTTCCTGACCACATACTAATATCAATAGAAAGTCACGATAAATAATCACAAAGGAGTGAGAAACTAGGTAACAGGTTCATAATTATCAAACAATAACTTGAGAAAGTTAGACCATACAATCATAGTTCATACGGTGGAAAACGGAAGTTTGCAATAAGGATAATTTAAGAGTACACAGAAATGATTGTTTAGTAATACAAGATACAGCTTTCTCGATATTCGTTGAGCAATAACTTGCCCTTAACGGAGCATAGCCTGCCGAGTAGCATTCTCCAGCCTACTCTGTCTTCGGGCTTTCTCTCTAGTACTATCCACTTTTCTTCATTTTTTTCATGTCTGTCTCCATTTCAGTCATAAGAGTTAGTTATTTATATATAATATGCATTTCTAAAGAAACTACTGGTTCACCTTGAACCTATAATAAACTTAACCTCATTAAAACTTTAGAATGTTCCTAAGAGTCATTGTAGCCGGGATAGTATAGTACTTATTTATATCTCAGTATGATCCATCTGATTGACGATACATTCATAGTTATATAAACCCATTTTACTTTCCGTTTTTTTTTATTCACGTTTAGAACAAGCACTGGTTTATTTTTTTCTTAAAAGATAAAATTTTGTGATTCGAGTTACGGAAATCGATGTTTTTACTCATTAGAACCCTGGCAGCACTGTATGGCCATTTCGTCCTGGTATAGGACTCATCAGCATTGCACATCCATGACTCATACTAAACCAGGACGAAATGGTAATCCTGTGCTTCCAGGTTTCTAACAGTGGCCTAACAATGACTGATACATGATTTCTGTGTGTAAAAGGTAAAATTATCACTTTGTTCATTTGCATTTGCAAACAATAATAGTATGACTTTCATGCAATTATTTGATAATTAATTGTATTTATTTGGCTTTTGTTAACAAACTTTATTCAGATTATTATTTGTGAGTTTTAAAAGTAAAACTTTTGTATTGTTGATGTTAAGGATCGTAGTTGATCGATTCCTTGTTAGTATCTGTTTCTCCTCAAAATGAACATTAAGCCACAATTATTTTTATGAGAATTTTTTTATATTATCTACAAACGGAATAAAAGACGTCTAGTTTTCCTATTTTGGTCCACCAGGTTGTCAGGTACCTATGTGGTTGCGCCACAGGATTGATTGGAACTGTTTACATTGTAGTGTTAACACATGGACAGTCTCTTTGGTTATCCTAAAAACCAATGTAAAATTACCCTTACCAATTGAGGAATAATTTGTCTAATTGGCCTGTTTGTGATTCGTTAGCTTGATATGTTGATACACGCACAGAGAGATGACACACTCGACGTCCTTGATATGAACATGGGGAGAATTCAAACCTTTACAAATGACATATAATTCATCACCACTGAACAGCCTAGTTCCTATGATGAGTCAGTAACTCAGTGGATAAAGTGTGTGTCGTTCAAAGCAAAGGATACTGAGTTCGATTTTGAGTATGAATATGATTTTTTTCACAGTTATTAATTTGTTAGAACTTTATCAAGTTATTTACAGAAGGCATTTCAGCAGAACTCCTTTCTTTCATTCTTAAAATTACATTATGAAACTAGTATTAGAAGATTGGTATTGTAAGTTACAAATTCTTGATTCAAAAACAATAGGCATCTGAATGAATGATTATTTCAATAACGTCATTAAAAGATTTGACAAGTATGAATGCATAGAGTATCATCGTTCAGCCAATCGGAAAAAGAATTTTAAAGTTGCATGGTTTGTTTGACTAATCACAAGTGCCAGTGGATAACCCTACTAATACGACATACATAATAAAGTCTACGGAAGCAATTAAATTATGATTCTCACTTTAAATAACACATCATCAATTACTTATCCTTGATTAGTTGTTCGCATACTACTTAACATGAAATAATAAACAAAATGACAGCAGTAAGTTTATTTTTGTGGCAGACCGACAGAAATATAAAGATATCATAACTCAGTACTGCTTCAAAAAGTATATATATATACGCAGAATATATAAAATACTTGCTATTGTCAGAACGACGAGTGTTCTATATATATTCACAACTACAATTATTTAGGAGAAATATCCTAAGGAACTCTTAGATATAAATCCATAGTGTTCGTGTGTAACTGACAAGTAATATGCTATATTTGAAATCATGAACTGATCAATGTTAGACCACCACTGAAAGACCGCCGTTCCGTCCTGGTATGGGACTCATCAGCAGTGAGCATCCACTACTCCTGCACCTCGCAGTATCCGAACCTAGGACTGTCGGTCTTGCGCACGAATGCTTAACCTCTAGACCACTGAGCCGGTATCTATCGGTGTCAATGTCTAAGTTCGATCAGTTCATGGACGAAACGGATGTCTTTCAGTGCTTCCAGGTCTCTAACGGTGGTCTAACATTGATCGATTCATGATTTCAAATGTGTAACTTAACAACCTTCACAATCCCGTGATGCAATATGCGCTAAAAGTGCGTGCACCAGGATTGGTAATAAACAGTTAAAAAACGGTCGTCAACAATGTCAGGACGAGGTTTGAAAAATGAACACGTCTATTTCATGGACAGTAGTCAGTTTGACATGAAAATTAGTAATCAGGAAAAATAAAAATCAACAAAACAGCTGTCCAATGCTTCCAGGTTTCTAACGGAGGTCTAACATTGATCGATTCATGATTTCAATGAAAATTATTTAGTACATTCAATCGACTAATGAAAATATGCACACACAAGTCAATTTTCAACCATTTCCACACTTTCATATAATCTCTTTTCAACTATCATACTTTTAATTAACATTCCACATAAACACTTTATTCAATGTTTCAATACTCCCTCGCATAATTCTTAATTTTGTTCATCACAATTACTTCAGAATATTACAATTATCAATAATGATAATAATAATAATAATAATAATATTAATTAATGGTATTTTTTCATTCAAAATGTCATACAAGTTTGTAGAGAGAAAAAAAAGCAATTAAATGATAACTTCTTTCTTTATTTTTTGATCAGAATACAAAATAATAATTGAATAATTTAACAGCAGACAAACAATGAATTTTGTCTTGCTTTTATTTTTAGGCATGCATTTGTTATTTTTTCTTTAATTTTCGCAATTTTAATTTATTTGTCAATAGAAAACATCATTTAGGTAGTTTATAATACGCAACAGTCTAATATAAATGTCTTATCACTTTTTTGGGGGGAATTAGGTGTAATAAGATTATATCATATCACATAACATTCATGATATTTCCTCTCACTCTCTCTAGCCCCGAGGGACAAATCTCCATCTATATAAATTATATGTCATGTGATATTTATTTTCAAAAGTACCTTATTACGTAGAATAAAAACAATGAGGTGATGAAATTTAATTTGGTCTTACTGAAGCAAATTAATGGACTTT